GAAATGCTATTAATCCATCCCAGCGGCAGAACAAAATATTTCGATATAACATAATCAATTCTACAGCTTATTTATCTATTACAATTCATCTAATATGACAACAATATAATTAACAGAGAAACATGATATATAATCTAGAATAAATAAAATCGGCCATAACGAGTAATGATGGTGGAAGCGGCGGCAGCGTCCGCGTTTTGTCCTTTTTTCTATCGCTTAACTAACTTGCTACCCTTTTATCACTGAACTGAACTGATCAAATTTGTTTTAGTTTTATCACTGAACAATCACTGATACTATTTGCTTTAATTCCATGGAAATCATCCTCTTTCTTCTCAGCACTTATTTTATTAGGATCCATGGTTAGAAAATGAAATTTGGCCAAATGACTAAAAAAAATTGCAAGCAAGCACGAGAGAACTGCTCCCACAGCAATGTAAACATGTGGACTCCTTACCAGATGTTTCGCCATCGGCTGCGCCAATGAGTGACAGCATTCTGAATTATTACATATTATGTATGTATTTTATTTTAATTTAGGGAACAAAGCTCACTCTTTATTATAACAATAAAACACACTGTAAAAATTTTTATAATCTAATAATGAAAGTTTATAATGCCACCAAAACTGTTTCCCTTTTGTGGGAGTGTCTCTCTCTGCTTTGTTACATTTTTTACAGTCATTTGGCCAAATTCTTTTTTCGAAAACGGGGCCCAAAAGAAAGTAAGGTTAAGGGCAGGCTGAGAAGAAAAAAGGATGTTTTCCCATGGAATTTAAAGAGAAATCTTAAAAAAAAAAAAAGGGAGGTGTGCGGTTTTGGGTGAGGGGGAAAGGGGGAGCTGGCTCGTAATCAAGAAAAAAAAGTCGCCCAAGCAACGTTGTATTCAAAAAACCTGTACGTTGGGACACCCTTAAAGTCAAGGTTCCACGTAATCTACTAAAGTATATATGTATTACAAAAATAATTAAGCCCCAATGTGAAAAGATTTCCCACTCCCTGAAGGAAAGAAAAGCCAGTAACCATCCGTGGAAAAAGGGAAAAAAATAAAAAAAAAAAAAAAAAAAAAAATTTTTTTTTTTTTCAACTTTTTTATTTCCCAAAAAAAATTATGAGGGGGAAAAGAAGATAATATCAAATTTAAAAAAAAGTGAAAATACATAAAAAACCAAATATACTTTAAAGAAGAATGGTATTTTTAGGGAAAAAAAAAAAAAGAGGAAGAGGAGAGGGAAAAGGGCCACCCCTTTGCTCTGAGCTCGCCACCACCGACGGGAAAATGTCTTTCCAGGGGGATGTTGAAACCAAAGTGAAAGCCTTCACTGGAACCCCTTAACCTCCAAAAAGAACACATTCCTCACCGGCAATATGTGACAAGTACAGACACCCTTTGGTTTGGCTTTGTTGTAGAGAGGCTGCTATGCTAAGTAAAAAGCATGGCGAAGGTTAAGAAAATCCTCCCATTAACAGGAACTTGCAATGAAAGCTGTGGCTTTGGGTGATTTTTCAAAGTGGGCCTTGCTAATGGGAGTTGGAATAAAAAAAGTTAGATCGGTGGGGTAGGCCCCAAAAAACTGGGGGCCCCCTGGTCAAGGAAGACAAGGTTTCTGCTGTAAACTTTTTCCACTTAAATCGACAGGATGGGACCACCTCATAGTAGTAAAGGAAAGCGGCCCTCTTTGTGAAATTTGCTCCAAAAATGCAATTTCCCTGATCCGCAAGGGACCCTCCTTGGCTAGCTGCAAGAACGTGTAAAAAACTGTTGGGGGACAAAAAGGGCAGGAGGGGCTTTTCCCTTCTTAAACCTTGACAAAAAAAGGCTGGGGGCCCGACAATTTGGGCCCAAGATTTTTGGGAAAAAGATTTTTTTGCAGACCAGTAGCACCCCTTTCTCGTCTTTCGCACTGCCTAGTACAGTAAGGGCCCCTCTCCATGGAAAGAGGCAATGAAAGTCCCTGTTCCAAAAGAAGGCGAGCAGAAATCAGAAATACAGCCCAGGCCCCTCCTGTCAATCCTGGTAAGCCCTTGAGACAATAATCTCAAGACAAATGACAGATTTTTTGATACCCTCATACTTTGTGACTAATATGGTTCGGAAAGGTTACTCTGTGCTGATTGTTGTTAAACCTCCCCACTAAGTGGCACCGTCACTGGATAAACCCCAAGTCAGCTGTGTGGTAGCACTGGACTTTTGCTGGCGCTTTCGACCGGGTGTGGCCCGGGCCCTCTTGAAAAAATTCAAGCACTGGGAATTGGGCTCTACCTAGTTCCTCGTGATTACTTATGGTGATCTTAAGTGTGCCCTCAATGGAAGGAATCAGCAAGACATCCTTTTGGGGCAACGTTCCACAAGGAAATTGTGCGGGTCCACTGTTAGGGAATGTCTACTTCAACCCCTTTTTCATCTACCCCAGAATAATGCATATGCAGACGTGACATGAATTCATTATCCCAAAAGAAGAAATGCCCGTGCTTAAGTACATCAATCCCAGCTGAGAGCTTATCAGCTTGGGGAAAAAGATGGCAAGTAACATTTGCACTGAGAAAACCAAAAAGTGATGTTTAGGCCCATGAGGGGAATGTGGTGCAGTGTAAGGAGAAGGGGGGATGTTGGCACCTGGAGAAGAAGTTGTATCCTTGGGGGGGAAATTTGACTCCAAACTAACCATGAAGAAAAAATTTGTAAATCTTGCAAACAAGGCAGCCAGGAAGCTTACAGCACTTCGCCCTATCCCGCATTGCTTGCGTAGGGGTTGCAAGATACTGTCGAGGCACAGTACGCTCACATTGAGTAGCCACTTTCTTTGGGTTTTCCTGTCCCCCTCTCATCTGCGACTGCTTGACAGGTGAGAAAAGAGAAGTCTCTTTTCTGCCCCGGACCCATCCCGGGTGGATCGTCATTTCAGCAGAGCCTTCAAAAATAGGAGGGGGTGGGGGTGGCCCCTTTTGTTATGTACAAGGCCAATATTTTCAAAATACCACACTTTGGGTCCACTTCGAGGACGCGCGAAACAAGTTTTATGCCACAAAAACGGGCAAAAAAAGCAGAACTTCACTTGGCTGTACCCCTTTTCCAGAACACATCCGAGTCTACATCCCGGGTGACTCGGTATGGAAAAATTTGTTCAGCATAATGATGTCAACGAGATAAGTCGTTGTCAAATGAAATGCTGGCCCACAGTGGCTCCAACTTATTGTTCCCTACTTGTATGTTCATAAAAATAAAAAAACTTTCAAAAGAGCTGATGTAGGAACAGTCTTAGCTTGTCAAAAAAGTTAGGAATCCCTTTAACTGTAAATAGCTTGTAATAAGGGGTCCTTAACCTTGTCAAACCATGTGTAAAAAAAAAAAAAAGAGGAGGGGAGAGAGAAGAGAGAGAGGGAGAGAGGAGAGGAGAGGGAGAGAGAGAGAGGGGAGAGAGAGAGGGGGAGGAGAGAGAGGGAGAGGGAGAAAGGAAGGAGGGGGAGAGAGAGGGGGGAGAGAGAGGGGAGAGGAGGGGAGAGAGAGGGGAGAGGGGAGAGAGGGAGAGGGGAGAGAGGGAAGAGGAGAGGGGGGGAAGAGAGGAGAGGGGAGAGAGAGAGGGGGAGAGGAAAAAGGGGGGAAGAGAGGGGAAGAGAGGGGGAGAGAGGAGAGGAGGGGGGAGAGAGAGGGAGGAGAGAGAGGGAGAGAGAGAGAGGGGGGAGAGAGGAGAGGGGAGAGGAGAGGGGAAAGGGGAGAGGGGAGGGGGAGAGAGAGAGGGGAAGAAGAGGGGGAGAGAGAGGGGGAGGGAGAGGAGAGAGGAGAGAGGGAGGGAGAGAGGGGGGAGAGAGAGGGGGAGGGGAGGGAGAGAGGGGGAGAGAGAGGGAGAGAGAGAGAGGGAGAGAGAAGAGAGAGGGAGAGAGAGAGAGAGAGAGAGAGAGAGAGAGGGAGAGAGGGAGGGAGAGAGAGGGAGAGAGAGGAGGGAGAGGGAGAGGGAGAGAGAGAGAGGGAGAGAGAGAGAGGGAGAGAGAGAGAGGGAGAGAGAGGGGAGAGAGGAGAGAGGGAGAGAGGAGAGGGAGAGGAGAGAGGGGAGAGAGAGGAGGAGAGAGAGAGGGAAGAGAGAGAGGGAGAGAGGAGAGAGAGAGAGAGAGGGAGAGAGAGAGAGAGAGAGGAGAGAGAGGGAGAGAGAGAGGGAGAGAGAGAGGGAGAGAGAGGGAGGAGAGAGAGAGGGAGAGAGAGGGAGAGAGGAGGGAGAGAGAGAGGGGAGAGAGAGAGGAGAGAGAGGGAGAGAGAGAGGGAGAGAGGAGGAGAGAGAGAGGGAGAGAGAGAGGGGAGAGAGGGAGAGGAGGGATGAGAGGGAGAGACGGAGAGAGAGGGAGAGGGAGGAGAGAGAGGGGAGAGGAGAGAGGGAGGGAGAGAGAGAGAGAGGAGAGAGAGGGGAGAGAGAGGGAGAGAGGAGAGAGAGGGGAGAGAGAGGGAGAGAGGGAGAGAGAGGGAGAGAGAGGGAGAGAGAGGGAGAGAGAGGGGAGGAGGAGAGAGAGGGAGAGAGAGAGGAGAGAGAGAGGGAGAGAGAGGGAGAGAGAGGGAGAGAGAGAGAGAGAGGGAGGAGAGGAGAGAGAGAGAGAGAGGGAGAGAGAGGGAGAGAGAGGGGACGAGAGAGAGACGGGAGAGAGAGACGGAGAGAGAGACGGGAGAGCGGGGAGAGACGGGGAGAGACGGGAGAGAGACGGGAAGAGACGGGGAGAGACAGATGGAGAGAGAGACGGAGAGAGAGATGGAGAGAGAGACGGAGACAGAGACGGGGACAGACATGGACAGAGAGAGACGGAGACAGCAAAATTTGAAATAAACAGTCTACACTGGTGGATCCTTCAAATTTCCATCATGAAAAAACAGTCCAATTACATAGTCTTTGTTGACTCCCATTGCAGAATAATTATACGAAATTTTAGCAAGAGTAAAAGATTTTTCTATGCTCTTCGTACTTTACAGGGGAAACAATTTCAAAAATTCAAAGTAATAAAAAACAAATCCTTAGTTACCTCATTGAACAAACTGCTCAGGTATGGAATTCTTCCTTTACTAGTTTAAACAACCTGAAAATATGCATTGGTCAAAAACAGAAAAGTATCGATTAAATATTAATACACAATAAAATTCAGTACCATGCAGGATCAACATTAACAAACCAGAGGCATGTTTTAGTCATTCAATTTCCATCATTGTATATAAATCTTTACAATTTTAAAACTTGTCTTCCTTAACATATCACCATTTAGAAAATGTATTTCACTGCAGAGAAATATTTACAAAATAAACTTTCTTCTACAGAATATTGTAACACGATATTGTGATTTCAGAACTGTCACCCTACTGAAGTAGGGTGAACCAAAAAAGAAACCCTTTCACCATCCTTCACACAGTCTTATGAGTGGCGCATAGATAAGAGTTCAGATGTCCCTCCAAACAGCAAATATCCACACCCCTCCTTTAGGTTGCAGGCACTGCACATCCCACCTCCAGAACTCAAGTCTGGCCATCTGGTTCCCCTCAATCTCTTTACGAAATCTTAACTTGCTCACACTTCAACAGCTCTTCAAGTCCCAAAAAACCATTTGCCTCTACTCATTCCTATCTAACATGCTCTCACACAAAACCTTTACCCCCTCCCTCTACTTTCCCAGGATGACCCCTACCCTACCGTACCTCCCCTGCAGATTTATATACCACCCAGGTTATCCTATGTTAATCCATCCTTTCTAAAATGTCTTACTAAAATTTATATGTACTTACTAAATAATTATACGCCAATGATGTAACATGTTGCACTGCCTGGAGGAAAATAAAAACTTAATTATCCAGTGGAAAAAATGGATAACATATAGTACACTTTTTTTTTTTATTTCAGATTCTTCATTATCCTCAAGCAAACTAGGATGGGGAAAAAAGATAATATCATCACTATTGAAGAAAATTTAACAACGAAGTCTAAATACAAAAAGTGCAAAACAAAATATTAGGAAATGCAAGGTACATTACTTTATGAAAACCACAAAACCAATAAAAGTAAAAATGTTTGCCAATACTATAGTTACAATAATCAGTAAAATATGAAGAAAATAGTCCACATTTGGGGATAATTCTTTCTTTAAGAACAACAA